CCTGCTTGCTCGCATGGCTGTCCTTCGTCTAGTGTTCTGCCAGTCCTGTTCAGGATGACTCGTGTGAAGAGTTGTAGACTACGGACAGCAGGCAGATTGGGCGATAATTGCCAATGTCGTACAGGTCTCCTTCTTGTACAGCAACCTAGTCTTGCTGGTTTTCCACGAGGTAGGTACCTTGTATTTCGACAGGTAGCGCGTGAAGAGTCGACCCAGAGTTTTGACAAGAACTGGCGGAAGTTCTTCAGTTGTTCGGGTCTGATCCTGTCGGGACCGGGTGCCGTACGATTCTTCACCGACGAGATGGCGTGTCGGACTTCGGAAGAGAGGACTGCAGGAAAGACATATCTATCCTGCTCCAAGCGGTATGGTTGCAGGTGGACGTGGCTGTCAAAGAGATCCGAGTAGAAGTCGTGGATGACCTTCTCCATTGCCCTTCTGGATGCGGTGATTGTTCCATCCGGACGTCGGAGGGCGGTCATCTTGGTCTTACAGTGGCGAAGTCGCGGCGGGCGTTGCGTAAGCTCTTCCCAGCCTCTGCGGCTTCCACTAGTACTGCTGCTCTTCTCTCCTTGAGGTCTTCCTTTATCGCTTCTCTGCATAGCTTCGCAAGCTCAGACGTCAGCTGGTAATTGCCTGCGGCTCGTGCGGCTCCACGTAAATCAGCTCGAGAGTTTACAGAGATAGACGCTTCTTGGTAATCTTGGAACTCTCTGACTTCTTGGCGCAGTCGTAAAGATATGCGACAAGCCGTTCGTATTCCTGTCGATGTTGCCGATGACGGAATCCTCCTAGAGCCCAGCGAGAGGAGTGAAGTGATCCCAGTTGATGACGATCTTGGGGCTTCGCTTCCTGAACTATGCGGCTCTCTCTCCAAGCGGAATCTCGCGCGAAGGAGACGATGGTTGGATCCAGTGAAGAACTTGGGAATACAGCGACATCGGTCAGGCAAAACCTTCGATTGAAGATGATTTGATCGATCTCGTTATGGAATTGTCCACGGAGACTCCCATGTTCAGCGTAGACAGTAGGGCTTCTGGAATTGCGAGTCACCATGGATGGTATGGGTCGACATGATAATCTCATACAGGCTTTCAGCCTGCTCATTCCACTCCGTTTCGTGAGTTTCGATGAAGATCTTCAGCCGTTCTTCTTGGTCCGATCTTAGCGTTAAAATCACAGACGATGACCTTGAAGAAGGTATGTCTTCCTTGTTGAACTTTTCCAATTCCATATGGAACGCTTCGAGCTCATCCTCGTCGTAGCTTGATGTTGGTGCGTAGGCGACGAAGATTGCCAAAGCCGGAGTTGAACCACATCTTCTCAATCGCAAACGTCCGATTCGGGCCGTCAGATTTTCGTACGAATCGATGTTCATGGCCAATTGTGTGTTGACGAGGACGCCCACACCGCCAACGCCTCTGCTGTTGCATGTTCCGAGGAACAGTTCTTCTCCAGTCTCGTATACGACGTGTAGCGGGCGATGCCTCTTCGTCTCGTGTAATGGCGGTATCAGTACGGAAAGGATCGTGGTACCCTCTTCCCCTCCCCCACATTCCGTCTCCAATTGTTTACTCTAAAGAAGGATTAGATACGTAACGACTCGCAAACGCTTGCGGCCGGCTTGGTTCTATGGTAAATTAGCGGTGGAGCAGATCTGTTGCCTGGGCGGAAATTGCGGGGCTTCGTCTGAGGGTGATAGCTTTTCCAGGTCGGCATGTTGATGCATTGGCTCTACTGTTGCGATTTCTACCTAAATCCATTCTGAACCTTCTCCCGTTCGTGAAATATTTCGGGTGGGTTAAGGGCGCAATAAAGTTAAATCACAAGCGCGTTTTTTATGCTTCAGGCGAGAGTAACTTCTTTCAAACGCAATCTTTTGCAAAATTAAGAACGACATCGGAATGCACAATATTTTCTCTACTCAAAAAAACTCTACCTTTTTCTCGGAGATAGTTCAAAGATATTTCAGATGGGTCACCCTTGGCATCTTGAGCCACTCGGAAGTTCGACTCCTTCTGTGCCATTGTGAGTAAACTCATTCGCGGACTTCTATATGTCTACGGAAAACATTTACGTTGCACTGAGTCAAAGCATGCTTTGGTTACCATCGATCGATTGGGTCCGAGTGCGCATCGTTACGCTTCAAGGCAGGGTAGTGGAAAAGTGTGACTTCTGATTCTAGGTGACTTTTGTCCATGCAAACAGATGTTTGTTTAGGGTTTGGAAAGGTTGATAGGCACGAATCTTTCTGAGATGTATTATTTAGTCATCTTAGTAGACGGAAGGAAATGAAGCAAAAAATAGCCGCGGCGGAGTGACGCAAAGTCGTCTTCCAGATTAGGGAATTACATTAGTTTGAATTGTATCTCTGAGCTTAGTCTCTTGGTGATTCCTCTATTTCTCCATGAGTCACTGTAACTCGAATTATAGCGAAACGATGAGCAATTGAAGGAATGCTAGTAAGAAGGGGTCAGCGGAGCGATGGGCAAAAACCGCGTACTACTTAAGCAGCAGATGGCCCAGCTGGGAAAGTCAGATGGCTCGTCAGGTCGCCAGCAGTCTTCCGATTTCCCATCTCCTTCACGGTGCTCAATATCTCTCTTTCAATATTGCGGCCTTATCATTATTCCTAGATTGTAGTTGTTCTAGTTCTAACTCTCTTTACATTCCACAGCTTGTCCTTTGATGGACCTGACTATAGTAGCTATTTGAACGTATTGATTTCTCTTGTGTCTTCTTCGATTGTGCCTCCTCGCTCTCAGATGCCTCTCTAATGCATATTCACTCCTTTATTCATAGCCTCTTGATTCAATTCTCATATCATTTGTAATGTTTACAATTGATGTATATATTTACTAGTTATTTACCTTTAGCATATTAGATGAAGTCTAATTACACAAGTTTGAGGTTATCTTCTCAAGTGGTCTATCTCGCGTGGCATTCTTATCTTAGAAGAAAGTGTGAGCAGTTATCTAGACAATTCCTCAATTTTCACAATCGTGCGAGTTCATGCTAACCCTTGATTTCGCTAATCAACTGTTTTAATATTTTGCAATGCTCCTTACGCTCGGGTCCTCTGCAGCTTTCACACTTAGCGATGACACCTTTGTGCTGCTTGGTGCTCACCGTCCCTGCGTTGACGAGCCCCTCCCCCAGCTACCAAGTACAAGCCCTGATGTGTTTCGCACAGCGAGGCTGTACCCTGTACAGCACTCGCGTCTATACCAAGATCCCGCAGGTAAACACACGCTCAGCGGCAGAAAACATCCAGAGGGCGCAGACATGTGGCGCGTTTTGCTATGGTTAGGCGTGTGACTGACCGTGTAGAAGCGCTCAAGGAGTTCGGAGGCGCTCCCGGGGTACCATTACCCTCCGACCTCATTCCATTCACTTTGGGCAGAGAAAGAGGTAGGCAACTACCGCTGCAGATTCATTCAGCTCACAATGGTAAGGACCAGGATCCATAGAGGAGACTGTACTGTTTGTGTTTAAGCGGAACCGCGCCCAAGAAAAGTTCCGCGCACGTTATTTTTGGATAATTATCAAAGGAACAAAGGCAAAGTCTTCGCCGTCGATCGATTCGCCTTCGAGACGCAGTACGCATTCTATTTCCATTCAGTATTGAATCCGATTTGGCCTTTGCAATAAGTTGTGGGGACCAGGCGATGAACGAGTCAGTATATTTATCCTCCCATACCAAGACGGTGCCAGTTTACCGTAAATTGGAGAGCAGAAAGCCTGGCTTGCCATCCAAGATTTGATTCCATGACCTCATGTGTGGTGAGCGTGCCACTTGACACCACACCATATCCGCCTCGAGAGTATTAGGTATTAAAAAATATCTGAGTTTCAAATACACGCAACATCATCACGAAATATCACAAAAAAATAGCAACGAAAACGAGACTATGCTAAACAGATCTCTACCTCTGTTTCGATGCCGGCTGGTAAATTTGCAAGAAAACGCTTAGCGTTCGCCAGCTCTAGTGCTCTGTCGATTTTCTCCATTGGGACCTTCAACAATAGTTAAACACACTGAACTTCATCAAGGAGATATCATCTACTTAGAAATGCAAGGCGTAAGAGAGATTTCGCAGTCCGTTGTTGGCGCTCCCTCCCCAAGTCAGAGCACTGGCGAAGAGCACCGTAAAGGAAAGTCACTGTGTTGAAACGTTTATCAGACGGGCGGTGCTAGAGAGAAAACTATCCCTATAGCCAAAATATTATAAGTGAAAGTATTTCAAGAACGAGTAAGAAAGGCCTCAAGAAGAGCAATAATGAGTAATTAGGCGCGAAACTTGAAGTTGGAACGATAATGGAACTCTCTCTAGAATGCTAGCAGGGTGCTACACTATGCGAAAGTTTACGAAGTGTCTAACCTAACCTAGTTGCAGCCGTCCGTTCTTCCTCTGAATGATGTCGAAAACTAATGCGCTTGAAGGCAGTTGGCACGATAATTGAGTATTCGGCCTAAAATGCCAACAGGGCGCTACATAGCGGGAAATCGGCGAAAAAACGAAGTGAAACGGTCAAAAACTTGCGAAGGGAAGTTTTCAGTTTTAATGACTCCAAAAGTAACTTCGGACGGGTTTCCCGTAGGCATTTTGCCAATAACAGCGACGGTGGGTACAGCTGCACGTATGTACTCGTATATCTATGCAGCACCGCGGTCGCTTCATGTCAGTGCCTTCTCTTCATAATTCACTTGGCAAATGAAGCAATACGAGCATTAGGAACGATCGTTCATTGCGGGAGGGCGGGCGCGATGGGCGTCCGGGTCGGTATGTTGTGACTCGATAGAGCCTTACAAGGGTGACTTCCTTGGGGAAGGCGCTACGCAGCGTCTGCTCAGGGGCCCAGAATCCCGTCCTGCCAGGCGTATGAACCTGATCCTACTCATCTTAGGGATATATCTTGCCAACTGCCTGTAGGATAGAACTCATTTCTCGGACAGCGAAATCTATCTTGTGTGCAGTGCAAATAGTATAATGCCTCACCGGTCCTAGACCGAGACAAATGTTTTGCCTGATAGTGCCTGAGAAAAGCCTTGGTTCTTGTCCAACTAATGCCATTTGGGTCCGTAAATGACTAAGCGACAGTGTCTTGACATCTTTGCCATCGAATCGCTGAAGGCAGTGAAGTGTGAGGTTTGCAAAGATCACAGCTCGTTAAATATCACAGATTCAGTGCTTACAACACATCCACTAGTTGCATCATAAAAACGCTCGAGCATCGAAATTATGGTAGATTTTCCGGAGCCAGATGGTCCGACAAGTGCTACGGTTTGACCACGTTGAGCCGAAAATTGTAGACCTCTCATTATAGGCTGGCGAGGCCGTTGAGGATAACTGAACTTGACATCTTCGAACAAGATGTTTCCACGAACTGTCTGAAACGCAGTTGTACAGCTATCTCGGCAGACTTGATTTTGAGAGAACAACCTTTCAATCTGAAACTGCGTTCATACCTCGCGTTAGATCGCTCTAATCCGTAGGCCAACCGCACACGCGGTCAGAGAAACTAAATTGCACTAATAAACGCACTTTAAGCGAGTGGCGCTAGATTTCATATCCCGGCTATGGCGGATAAGTTTCCACGTACTTCATTGGCACGTTGTGGCGGTTGCCCTCTCGCTGGTATGTTGCCGTTTTGATTCATTTGTGATCATGCCTTTATCCAGCTCAAGAAGCAAGCTGTCTCAAAAAGAAATTACCCCAAAAGCGCTTTCTACCTCACGACCAAATGGAGTACGCAGCCTCACCCACACCATCTCTAACAAGGGAATGGTTTCAAATTCCCATGGAACTTTGAATGGAGACCTAGGTACATCGATAGAGTCTCGAGTGCTGATTACGAATATGCAGATTGAAAGTGCTACGGGGATCTCCCAGTCGAATTTTGCGAACTCGGTTTTGGATCGTAAGCGCTGCTGATCGATCACGGACAGTGCGGCTGTGGCTTAGTGGTAACGGTCTCGCTTCAGAGCTAAATATTCATATGTTTGCATTCCGTTGGCGCGAAAACTTTTGCTTCGTCTTCTATGAGGGCTTTTACTCCAATTTTCGAGTTTACGGTCTAGCAGAGCAAGCAGCTCAAGCAGATCAAGTATATGACGTGGTCGATCAAGTACGGATTTGATCACTATCTGCCCTCTGTGAAGACATTACCCATCCGACAATCCGAAGTTTTGTCCAGAATCATAATTTGGCCAGAAACTCGTTTCTGGGGGTATTTTGAGCCACTCAGCGCGAATACTACATCCGTTTGACGTGAGAACGATTGGCTCCCTCGTTCACTTGATGACCAGAACAACCTGAAAGGCTACAAGGGGTTTCTCGTCAGACAGATGTGATTCATGCTCAGGGGGCCACAATACCTCCACGAACGAGTTTCTGGTCAAAACTTCGAACTGTAATATCGGTAATTAGTTCAGAGAGGGCAGATAGTGACCAAATCCATACTGGATCGAGTAGGTCATATACTTGATCTACTTGCTCCGCCGAGCCGATAACTCGGGAGAAGTTCGAAAATTAGTAAAAGCCCTTATAGGAGACGGAGCAAAAGTTTCCGCACTACCAGCATTTGGCTTTGAAGCGAGACCGTTACCACTAGGCCACGGCCGCACTGTCCGTGATCAGTCAGCAGCGCTTACGAGCCAAAACCGAGTTTTCGCAAAATTTGACCGCCCAGAACTCGTCTGGGAGGTCCCCGTAGCACTTTTAATCTGCATATTAGTAATCAGCATTCGGGACTCTATCGATGTGCCTAGGTCTCCATTCAAATTTCCATGGGAAGGTGAAACCATTCCTTGTGAGACATGGAGTCTAAAATTCTTGAGCTTTCTTTCTTGTGACTTTGACATACCAGTTGTAAGCTTCCAACTCTATCGCACAAAAAATCCGGGCACTATTTACCTTTTACTGCCCCAGCCATCCGAAATCGGGCCGGTTCCTGACCGACTTTTTTCTCCGTGGGCAGAATTCGCTGAAAAGTTGGCTCTAGGGGTAGTTCGACCCGCTGAACACGAATATCGCACCCGCTTGACCCGAAACCCCCCTGGCGCCCGTGCCACAGGCACCTGCGCCAAAATACTTGAAATAGCCAAATTTGCTGAAAACTTGCTCCCAGGGTTAGTTTGACCCCCTTTGCATAGAAGAAATAGTATTCGCTACTATTTGTTGCCCTGAAGAGGACCGTTGTTTCAGTATTAATCGATTTCCGGAATTGGTAGAAGGCAGATTAGCAGGGATATAACCGCGTGACATGTTTAAAGAAGTTGAAGATGATTTTACTGAGTTTTCCAAATTTTCGACGCCATAGGAACTCTTTGGTGTAGTCAGAGTACCGCTTGGTGTTCAATCCGAACTTTTTCTTGGGAATCATCTTGAACTTCTGTCGCAAGGATTCGATATTTTGGGTGTGTGCCCCAGTTAGTGGATCGACGAAATGGAGCATGTAACTGTCCGGTGCCTGTAGCCGGCTGGCAGTCGCGACAGCTGTGAGTACGCTCTCCATGAGTCCGACATGATGGTAGTTCCCGGTCGAATGAACTTGATGGTGTTCGAGAGTGTGGCTTGGACCCGCGACGTTTCACAAGCACCATGAAGGCTCGACCACTCCCTCTTCCAATGCCACCGAACAGCCATTCCTTTCTACGCACACGTCTACCGCGGTTGTACTTCCTTCGCCTGACATTCGTTCCGTCAATCTCTACAGTGACTGAAGGCCGGCCAACAATGGGGAGGTTTTCCTTTGATAAAAGGGATAAAGTCTTCGCCGTTGATCAATCCCTTTGTGGGATGCGGCACGCATTCTACTTCGATTCAGTCTCGTATTGGCTTATTGAATGCGATGTGGCCTATACAATGACTTGCGGTGGCCAGCCGATGTACAAGTCAACGTTTTATCCTCCCAGACGAATCTGGTATCAATTTACCGTCCCCGGAAAGTAGAAGGCTTGGTTGGCCTGAGCGGGTGTCGATCCGGGATTCGAACCAGGCTCCGCGCGAGTGGTAAGCGCGCCACTTGTCACTACACCACCTCCGCCTCTCTCGTGATACTTGGAACAAATTCTTCGTAAATACTGCTCCCAATGGGTTAACATCTTCCGACTGACTCCGAACTCGAAAGACTTCGTTCTGAAAGAGCCGAACTCACGCAGCCAGAAGTAAGTGGTTCCGAAGATGGTAGCCTCTGGAAGTTTGGAATTGGCGAAAAAGCTTTTGTGTCTGACGGAGAGAGATGGCTCCGTTCCGCTGTCCGTTCTACAATCACGCCTGTTACAAAGCTAAAAGTCGTCTTGAAGTCGAAGCATCATGGACCAGAACACGGCACATGGGCTTGTAGACCTAGTCTGCGCAACCATTCATTCAACTCACGCCCTGTCATTCCAGAGCTCACAATGTGGTGTAAACAACAAGAGATCGTCTGCTACTGAAGGGTCTTCAGCTCTGCTGTTCCTCTTGAGACAATGCAAAATGCAAAACCAAATCGTTCCTCACGCTATTTCTTGGAATTTCCGCCTCATTTGCAAGCAGGACTTTTTTTACTTCGATAATCTACACCATTATATTGGTTTACTTTATGCCTCTGTTGTAGAAGAATACTGCGTCTCTACTAGCATGGTGTTCCTTAATGCGAACTGCTACTGCCAATGTTAGGAGCGCCATCCTTACAGAGGCACCAAGTTGAGCATTATAATGGCGTAGATCTCGAAATGAAGTGCGTCTAGCTGGCAAATGAGGCATAATCCCCAAGGAAAGCCTAAAAAGCGTTCTAGTTTCTACTAGCAAACAGAACAGCCGACATGAGCGGTCTTAATAACAATAGGCCGCCATTTATACCAAACCAGGGCACATCGTTGTTGGGGAATCCCCAACAGGGGGGGGGGTCGTATTTGGCCGCCAGGAGGGGGGGTCGTATCTGGACTGGGAAAAATTTATTTTGATAGTAGATTTTTCTCGCTTCACGGACGTTGTAAAGGGGGGGGGGGTCGTACATGGTCATTGTTGGGAGGGGGGGGGTCGTATTTACGTTTTGGCTTGGTGGTTGACTTTGGTGATCTTCCTGTTTCATGCGTACTATATACCCACTGCTCGACGGCAAAATTTTTGGGAAAAGTAGGGAAGTTTTTGGGAAATTTTTGAAATAGGGAGTTGGGGAAAATCTGATTGTAGAGGGGGTGTCGTGTTGTCTCGCGACTTTTCCTGTTTCACATGTGCTATTTACCCTCCCCCCCCCTCCTCCGCTCGACGGCTCGATTCGATGAGGAGGGACAGAGGGTCGGGGGGGGGGTCGTACGAACCCCGAAAAAAGGGGGGAGGTCGTTCAGATTCGACTAAAATCTCCAACCAATGATGTGCCCTGTAACAAACTGTGCAGCTCTAGAATGACAGAGCAATAAGTGGATCTCCGAATTATTTTATTATAAGCAGACAATGTAACATCTATTATTCGTAACTGACTAGCACTCTTGTGTGAAGAACAATATCGCTCAAAGTGTGAGTTTGCTTTTACGATATTGGAGTCTTCACGAGGGGATCCTGAAACGAAGTCGGAACCGCAAGAGTCGCCAGAACGCTCGGTAGAGCGTAATCTAACATTTAATGCTCGGGCCACTGGAGACGGCAATTCACAACGTTTGGTCATCATAAACGTCCACCTGACAACTTTGCGAGGTATGAAAGAGGCAAAAACATGCAAGTAAAGCTGAAACCTGTACAAAAACTTTTCTTTGTTTTCTGGGCGATGCATGCAATGTAAGCGAAGAACTAAGAACACCTGATCAACGTACTGCTTTTTCGCCAGCATTCACGTCTCCAGTTCTTGGTTTGCGGTAGATAACGCTAAACAAGAGACCTGCCGCGGTGCGTGCTTTGACGAATTCGGGAAAATAGGTAGCAGAATTCATAACAGCCACTGATCCGAGCAACATGGCAATAATTGTTCTGTAAAGCCGATAATGAATGAAAGAAAGAAGTGCTGATCAAAACAAGAAGACAATTTCCACCTGAATACGCTATCAGATGTCTTTTGCTCGGTATAAATGATATGGATCCCGACCGCGTAAGTAACGCAGACAATAATGTAAGTGAACGACTGCGAGATTGTGAAGTTCAATCCCTCAAAGATTCCTCAAGCAAAACAATAGAAGCATGCATATGAGAACGTGCCGGAAAAAATACTCCACCTTTTGTTAGCTCAGATCGTTTCCCAAGTTTGCTGGCTGTTTCGTATCGTCCATAGAACATGGACATTCTTGTAAGCAGTTGTATCGTACGAACATTTTCGATCGTTTCGATTGCTATCTTGAAGTAATACAACATTGACAAAAGGACCCCTCAACAGTGTTGATAGTTCACCACTTTGAGAGCCTTGATACCGTACTGTTAATTGGTTATAGCAATACTGACATATGAACGAACAACATAGCTCATACCCGACGATAAAATGATATGTATCTTGTGCATAATTGCGAGAGCGTCGACGGCTCCGAGGGGCCAGACGGAACACAGCAGAGCGTATGCATAAGATAGGAGAGTCGACATAGAAATCAAGAGGAAGCATCACGTCACGGAAATTTGTCCAGTTGGTACGCCCCCGGGAAAGGGTTCCCGATTCTGCTGCATTGCTGAAAGCTTTGTCCTACTCCCGAAAAAAAACGCAGCTGCCTGGTGTGGATGAAAATGCTAGCCCCACCAACTGGACTAATTACAACATTCTGTTCCCTAAGCTGAGTCTTTAAATGTCCCCAACAGGGCATATAATAGTTGGGGACTTCGGCTGACTCTGTACGACCTCCGCCGAAGACCAGCTTGCTACGAGTTCCCTCCTCTGGTCGAGCTGTGGAGCGGGGAAGGGAGTACATAGCACATGTGAAAACCGCGAGGGAAGTACGCCCTTCCCCCCCCCTTTCTCAGATTAAGTACGGCTCCCTCCTTCCACTGAACAAATACAACCCCCTGTTGGGGAATCCCCAACGATGATGTGCCCGATTCATCTTCATAAAAGGGTGTTGTTTCGAGATGACATAGGTTGAGTTGGCTAATAATTCCTGGGACCCCTTGCTTGAGCTCTGAAAAACTAGTTATGATCCCTGATCTCAATACTATCCGTGATCCTAATACTATAGATGTCTGGTATAAGCTTATCATATGAGGCTGGAAAGAAAGTAATGGTGCATTTGCGACAAAATTGTTGTGATCTCGGTTTCTTTTGCCTATTTCCATATTGACTGGGACAAGTGAGTACTCAATGACAGAAGACGAAAGGTGCCGTGCTATCTGAACGCCTCTCTCGCCATGTCGTGCTGGTGCACCTGTCTAGCTAAACAGAATTAATCCTGAGCGAATGCTGGTGTTTTACAAAGAAAATGTTCCCGGTCGAATAACCGTTGTTTCCGGAAACTAGAAAGAAGTTCGCTTCTTCATCAAAATTGAAGACAACTCTGAGCGCCCCGTGGACAGGCTTTGGCTTGCTACGGAACCGGGTGAAGGAGAATAAATGTTAAACCACTAGACAACAGTTGTGGATTCGCAACCATTGAAATAGTGTATATTATAGGACTAGCATATAAGTGTGAGTGACAATGGTGTAGTTCAGTACCGTTGTCACTCCCATATCCTTTAAAGAACTCTTGAGAAAGCACCTCTTAAAAATGATACCGCAGGCACAATCTTGCGGTATCATGAGTGTGCAATCAAGTGCATACCTCATACCTTCCCACTGGCACGGTGCGCTATTCCATACCTTATTTCAAGCACCATCATCGGTACAGTTGGTGAGCACGGCCTACATTCGCCTGTATATAATCCCTCAATTCGTTATATTAATGTCGGTCATACGGTTCGCGTACAACACGTCGTAATAAGTCCTTACAAGTACTCTCACTGGTAAGACACCAAATTGGTGCATCGGTGTTGAACCCTCCGCCCCTTCTGCGCTAGCTCACGTCAGTGAGAGACAGAAGGAAGTCGTCAAAGTACTCCCATGATTCCGATCGAGGACGTGGGAAACAGAGGAATACTCCAGAAGTTTTCACGATCCGCCCGAGGACGTGAAATACTTACTTCTACAATAGCTTCATTCGAATTACCTCCAGAAGGTGCCGGGAAACTAATATCAATTTCTGCGATAGTTCTCGTCAAGACAAGCAGACAATTGAACACATTCTTTCTAGCTCATCGTAAAGAAACTTCAAAATTCTTCCACGATTCCGACCAAGGACGTGAGGAAGCCAAGCTCAGTGGTCTGCGCTAGTTCTCTTCGAGAGAAGCAGACTACTGAACACATTCTTTCCAACTCACTGGAAAAAATTTTGACAGTTTTCTCACGACTCCACCAAGGACGTGAGAAAATCCATCAAAAGACCTATCGTACTTCCTCACACAGCAGGAAGCGGTAGGCAAAACCAGTTTCTTCCGAACATATAGAGAAGAAACTCGGAAGTTTCGCCGAGATTCCTTCAAAAGGATTCGGGAAACCGAAGTTCGTGCCTCCTCCCAGAGACGAGTGAAGCATACAGAAGGCCCGCTGGCAGGGAACATCATCACACGGAACCATCCGAAAGTCACAAATTCAGCCAAATCGAGTAGAAGATACACAACTTCACTCATAATGGTTGCGAAACAATCGTGCTAAAGAGCAATAGAAGACGAGGAAACCTCTTTTCTCTAGGAAAGCCGACGAATACAAAATGGCCGAGATCCAGTTGTTCAAGATTAAGATAACACTTATACACACGTCATACGATCAAGCGAGTCGGATCTGAAACAACTGGACCAACCTTTCGCATTCCCATATCAAAAGGACAAATGTGAAGCCTACATCAAGAGAATACGGCTCAGCTGAATCACATTATGACAACAATAACGAAAGCAAAGGAGTATCACGCTACTTACGTCGAGAAAGCAATTGAAATAATAAGCTCGCGAACGAAACAAAAGGAGCGAGAGAAACTCATCACTCAGCTGGAGCTGAATAGTCACCTGGAGCTAGAGTCCAACAGCTTAGATATTGAGACGATCCAATGGTTGAGCAAGACCGAGTTCAGGAAGGAGGAGCTGGCACAGCAACCCTCCGTGATCAAGGAAGTCACTAGTGTCACCAACCAGGTTGTCAGCAACCAGAGCAACTCATTTAGCGGAGCAAACACTGCTAACCCCTATAAGCGCGCTGTTCGCGTTCGACGCCCCCTGCTAGAAGTCCCAACATTCTCCGGGAACTTAAGAGAGTTCAGCATATTGTGGTTTGTATCCGATTCCCATACTTAACGATGCGGACTTGTGCGATCAGAAATTCCTCTTTCTCAAACAGTGAAAGGAAAAGCAGCGGCCTCAAACAGCAGTATCCCCGTCATTGGGGACAAATACAACGCTGCAGTAAGCATTCTCAAGAAACAGTACGACAGATGATCAAGCATAGCTGACATCTTGATCAACGAGATCGAGCACCTACCAAGGGCTCAAGGAAACTTGAAAAGTTGTCGTGATACGCTCAGTGCTATATCATCTCGCATCGTACACCTGGACAACCTGGAGTAAGAATAACTGCAGACCGAGTATGAAGACGTCTGATCCTCTCCAAGTTCACAGAAAGCATCTGCAGCCAAGTCATATAGAAGGAAAACGAAGCTGGTGCAGAATTCGAAGTGAATGCATTATTGAAGCCGTCGATGAAATCATCACGCTCCAGGAAACTACCCAGCTAACAACAAGGACCCTATTCGGTGATACTCATGGCACACAGAACAATGCTGGAGTACCGAACAACACAAGACTTCGATCCAGGCAGTTTCCTTCTCATCGATCAAGAAATCCATGCTTGTGCGGGGAAATGCACTCGACACAACAGTGCGCCAGGTTCATTAAACCGGAGGCGCGTCGAACTGAAGCCAAACAGCAGAGAATATGCTGGAAATGTTTTGACGAAAATCACGGATCAAGATTATGCACAGCATTGGGATAATGCCCTAAGTGCTACGATGATCACCACTCATCGCTTTGTACCTCCTCAAGAAGTGGACGACATCCTGAGCGTCTGCAAAGTGGAAGGCAGAGCCCACCAATAAGCTTAACCGAGCAACAAGAAGCGTACGCTATTTTCGCTTCCCAAAACAACTGCTTCAGACAGCCACCACGTCGGAGCCTCAACTCAACAGGTGAAAGGACTAGAATGCAACTAGCACATATAGCACACACACCCTCCCGTGGAAATAACATCGACTCCAAATAATCGGGGCATACACAACGCGTGATGCAAACGGCATCAGCGTTGATTTTTAATGAATCTGAAATGGAATGTTAGCCACTCAGCATTCTTCTCGACTCATGAGGCCAGATGAGTTTCCTAAAAACAGAATCCGCAGATCAAGTACAGCTACCCACGCAGCTCCACAACATTCACTACCCTAGGAATAGGAGAACTACGAGAAACCTTCGTGTCGGAGTGGCACTGAGAAGTCTTCACAGCACCAGTAACTTGATAAGACAACCAATTAAGACTAACAAGGTAATAGTTTCGAATTCCCATGGAACTTTGAATGGAGACGTAGGTACATCGATAAAGTCTCGGATGCTGATTACGAATACGCAGATTAAATGTGCTACGGGGACCTCCCAGAAAAGTTCTGGGCGTCAAAATTTGCGAAAACCCAGTTTTGGCTCGTAAGCGCTGCTGATCGATGGCTAGGCGATCAGCAGCGCTTACGCTAGGCCAGGTCGATCGGTGCCACAATGACTTAGTGGTAAGCGACTCGCTTCAAAAGCAAATGCTTATGGGTTTGCATCCAGTTGGCGCGAAGGTTTTGCTCTTTTTTTCGTCTCCTATAAAAGCTTTTACTCTAATTTTCAAAATTCTTACGAGTTTACGAGTTATTTGGTTACTATCTGCCCTCTCTGAACTCATTACCCATCCGACAATTCGAAGTTTCGGCCAGAAACTGGTTCCTGTGGGTGTTTTGACCCCTGAACACGAATATCATATCCGTTTTACCTTGCTTTCGCGTTGTTGTGGTCGTCAACTGAACGAGGGAACCGATCGTTTTCGCGTCAAACGGATGTGACATTCGTGATTAGGGGGTCAAAAGGCCCCCAAAAACTGGTTTCTGGCCAAATTGTGATTCTGGACAAGACTCATTACCCATCCGAATTGTCGGATGGGTAATGAGTTCAGAAAAGGCAGATAGTGACCAAATCCATCCTCGATCGAGTACGTCATATACGATCCAGTTGATCTAGTTGCTCTGCTAGGTCGTAAACTCGGAAGAATTCCGAAAATTAGAGTAAAAGCTCTTATAGGAGACGAAGCAAAAACATTCGCGACAACG